GACCGAGGATTTATGGCTAGTAGAGACTTGAAAAAAAAACACCAGTCGAAGGCGAGGTTTTTATTACAGCTTCCTTTTTATTACAGGACACTTCCGTAGACAATATTGATAACTCCTTCAGACAGCTGTTTCGCTAATACATAGCTCATCAGTGAAGGTAGATAGATGTTGAACCAAACTGCTATTATAAGGTTTTATGCCATGCCATGCCAGTTTTGTATGTGGAAAAACCCTATATAATAGCAGTTTGGTCTTATATTTTATGCAGAGCTCACTGACTTGTCAGTTTGAGCACTCTGGCAAGGTACGTTCGGGCCTGATTGGAAATTTTTTATTTCCATTGCTATCAGGTTCGGCCTCATTTCCTCTGTGCTGCGCTGATGAGTTCAAAAAGAACGAAACAGCATGCTGTCCGCAGATTGTGTATATAATAAATGTAGAGCCGAAGGATTTATTACATACCAGTATAAAACCGAGGTCCCCCGAGGATAATAAATCCTGAGGCTTGTTAGATAATCACGACCGCCCCAACTCACTCCCGGACACGCACTCGCAACAACGTCCACAGCCGCACCAAATAAATCTACAACAGAAACAATGGAGAACAACAGAATGAATAGAAGAGCAACAGACCGACAACAACCAAACTGAAACAACACAGCAACAAGCAACGAACTGAACAGAGAGAGAACAACACAGCGAGCAACACAACAAGACGAACAACAAGGACGACACACAGTCGGTGACGCCAGACTCGTCCACTGTCCTCTGGCGAGCCACGGCCACACGCTCCGTCGCGGTTCCTGCCGTCTCAGGCTCCAGTCCACAGTGACTGTTCTAGTCCATCACCTTCTCTGCCTCCTCTCCGCGTCGTCTTCCGCTCCCACCAGCTCTTCACCTCCTCCGCTCCCACGTTCTGCTTACTTCAAAGTAACAGTTACTTCGTTGTTGACGACGATGAACATACTCATGACAAACTTACTCATCCTCTGCGTCCCGGGTTTCGGCACCAAGCTGTTAGATAATCACGACCGCCCCAACTCACTCCCGGACACGCACTCGCAACAACGTCCACAACGAGTTTTTTGGCGAACAGTGTTCATATAATTATTGGAGAAGAAGCAGAGAATGTGGGAGAGCGAAAAACACAAGTTTGTTCCACGGCCAACTCTAAAAAACTAACTGGAACTGATGTAGTTCTTCGTTGTACGCACTGTACGCATGAGAGCACGCCAGTTGCATGCCAGCGCGCAAGCGAGCAATAGATGAACATGAAACGGACACCAGAAGTAAAAGGATCTGGCGGTGACACAAAGTCAAAGGGAATGTATTACATGTCGGGAGACCATCAATGAGCCATGGTAGCCGGCGGGTGCAACAAGGAATGTAAGATAGAAGTTAGAGCAACGAATACCATGCATACTCTCACAGGCTACAACATTTATTATACATTATGTTGACCTTCGCTTTCCCTACAGTCCATTCAGAAATAAATGAACTTCTAGCTTTTGGCCATAAATGGGTCAAACGTTGAGTTTTTTTAGAATTTTTTTCTGCAATCCCATATGGAATCCTCTTCCAATTATGTTTCTGAAGTTTTTTTGTCCAAAAAGCAAGCCATAGCAAGAATAGGATTTCGGCCAGGTTTTGCCCCAAAAGCACTGAATTGGGAAAAACCATCAAAATCCAGGCCGTTTGACCCCGCCTGCAACAGTGCATTCTGCGGTTCGAACCCCAGTTCAGGCACCCTTTTTGGACCCTTTTTCAAATTTCAAAGTTCGCAGCACTGCACTGTGTACGATGAAATCACGAAAAATCGCCAAATACGGGAGCTCGCCAGAGCCAGGACCCATTTTTTTATGAATGGACTGTAAAAAGGAGTATTTTATAAACAGTATTTATTGGCCTTAGTGGTATTTTATAAACAGTATTTATTGGCCCAAAAGCCAATAAATACTGTTTATAAAATACCACTAAGGCCAATAAATACTGTTTATAAAATACTCCTTTTTAGGGAAAAGTGCAGTGCTGCATGGAAAAGTACAGTGGTATTTATTGAGTCAAGCAAGTTTATTTGAATTTGATATTGTTGATGGTGTGGTCACTAATGAGTGTGGGTATTTATCAAAGGTCAATATATCATTCAACATCTACCTTCACTGATGAGTTATGTATTAACGAAACAGCTGTCTGAAGGAGTTATCAATATCGTCTGCAGAAGTGTCCTCGCATTGGTGATGGTTGTGTGCAGGAGGGTTTAGTCGGCTAAGAGCGCAGTGTAGTGGTGGAGGTGATAGTCAACAGCTTCCTCATTAGCCATTAAATTAATCCAAAGCCGAGACCATTATTTTATTCATACCATCTGATAAAGACCTGCACATAAAAGCTGCACATTTGTGGGTGTGGGTCTTTATCTTTAAAGACCCACACCCACAAATGTGACCACACCTCGCTAGGTTTCATTCAGTGCAATTCTGGTTTGTCAATGTAGACAGTTAACAAGAAATTGTTTGCATGTGTTTGGTTGAAGCGTACTGTTCTGGTAATGCCCCAGGTACTTGCACTACAATTACCACACTCCCCAAATCCCTTCGCACTGATCATATCCCCAATTAATTTCGCCAGGAACGTAACACATTCATTCACCTTGGGCACCCTGTAAAAAGACCTTAGGATCTGTTGGTGTTGAGTCGGGCTCGCTCGCTCGCAGACTGTTAGACAACAACTGGATGGGTTCTGAGGTATCTCTTTCTTAGACTATCATGATCTCAGACAATACTACAAGACAAAAGCAAAAGGGAAAACCACTCGAAAAACCATGTCCGCCATTCCAACTCTCTCTCTCTCTCCAGAACTCCCTCAGCACAAACTCACCACTCACTCAAAGTATGGAAAAGCCCGCGCAAAGCAATAAGCACGTGACACACAGATACCGCGCGACACTAAGGCTATGATCGTTTGGTCGGATCCAGATCCAGATCCAAATCTCAGATCCGTCGGATCCTTCAGAATCAACTTAACACTTTTTTGCGGACCTTGGCTGCATGTTGACGAAGTAAAAAATGGCGCTGACAGGTCACCCAAAAAAGGCACAAGTCGTACTGATCGCCCGCGTCGTACGAAAAGTCAACAAAAGTCCACTAGACGTACGACAATGAGTATAAAAATGATTTTTACCCACCATATACGCACAAAGGTCACATTTGGATCCGATGGATCCAGTCAACCCTGCTCCCGGGGCAGGGTTGCTCGGATCCAAATCCAAAGGATCTGGATCCAGATTCGACCAATCGATCATTGCAGATCCAGTGGATCCGATGGATCTGGATCTGGATCCGACCAAACGATCACGGCCTAAAACACAGCTAACAGTGCACTACACGTAGGGTAGTGACGACAATGCAAAGTCAGATACATGGCGACTGATATCATGCAGATCAGTAGCAGTTCAGTTAGTTAAGGTCGAACCTCAACAGTTGGGAATGCCCAAGTAAAATAATCATAAATAAATAAAAAATATTACAAAGTTACAAGCGAGTTCAGTTCTAGAACAGGGCTGGGAGCACCCATGCCTTGTATGCCCTGAGTCCCTTTGCGTTGTAACCGTAGTAACATGCTGTTCAGGTAGCCATAGGCACGGGATGTGTTAGCTCCCTTCTTTGCTCTATAGAGGCTGTGCGATTACAGCAGTCAGTTGATGTGCTGTGGCAAAGGCGCGACTCAGTCTGCATAGATAGCATCCACGAGCGGTTCCGGAATGCCGCTGACTTATCAGTACGACTTCTTTCATTATAACCTCTATACTATGTACCGTTTGTCTGGCCCAGCAAGGAGGCGGGTTGAACATACTAGCACGAGTACTGTAAAAGCAGCAATTTTCGGTGGTGTAATATTTTCGGTATTCTCCGAAATGGGCGGTTCGGTGGAGGGAAATTTTCGGCAAAACCCGTTTTCCAAGTACAAGTGTACTTGTGAAAGGAATTCGGGTGGACACACCCATTCCCGTAGCGCGGGTGTGTCCACCCGAATTCCTTTCACAGATGAAGCTGCAGGAAGCCTCAGCCCTTCTTCAAAAGTGTACTTGTACTACATGTATACAGTACCGGTAGTAACCATGGTAACGAAATTTCAGTGCGTTTTATTTTCGGTAAAAATTGTCGGCACCGAAGTTACAGAAAATAAAACACCGCCGAAAATTTCTGCTTTTACCATTGTTTACAGTACATAATCCCCAAGAGTGTCCAACGGCCTGCATGACCTCTATGCTGTGCTGCGACGGTACGGCAGAACTTCACATCACGTGACGTGGTTCAAAAGGTTACGCTGGCAAACACAGTGCAAAGTGACCACAAGAGAGTTGAGCCCAAAGCTGGGTTGCGTACAACCCTGTATCTATCATGCACAGGGTGCAAATGGTGTGTACGAGTTCATCACGTGATGTGAAGTTCTGCCGTCGCAGACCCCGTAGCTGGAGTTGCACACTCTTGGGGGTTATGTACTCTTGATACTAGTCACAAGAGTCCTGAATTGCCACACCCTGTGCGATGAGATAGAATGAGAATATGCGCAGCGGCGTCAAGCGCGCTCACTCTGCTATGGACAGAGACCGGACGGTCCCTGCTCTGCTCAGGGTTGAGTCACATCTCCTTCTCAAATTTCAGATTTCTGCCTCTCTGTGTTGATGAGCACATCTTGTAGCACTGAGTCGCCCCCTCTCTGTGTTTCTGAGATTTTTTTAGCAAAACAGGATTGACAGTTTACACCGTGCAGATATGGGGGGGGGGGGCAAGTCAGTACCAATTCAAAGGCCCAGAAACACAGAGAGGGGGTAACTCAGTACTACACAATGTGCTCACCAACACAAAGAGGCAGAAGTCTAAAATTTGAGAAGCAAAACAAAATTGACAGCTAACACCGTGCAGAGATAGGGGCAAGTCAGTACCAACACAGAGACAACGCAACAACACAGAGTAAATGTTGTCGGTTTTTGCTGCATTTAG